TGTCTTGGTTCAACCGTAGTTGAACTTTCTGGCGAAGGCGCATAGCCTGTCTTGGTTCAACCGTAGTTGAACTTTTTGGTGAAGGCGCATAGCCTGTCTTGGTTCAACCGTAGTTGAACTTTTTGGTGAAGGCGCATAGCCTGAGTCCCGGTTCGACCGTAGTTGAACTTTTTTGGTGAAGGCGCATAGCCTGTCTTGGTTCAATCGTAGTTGAACTTTTTGGTGAAGGCGCATAGCCTGTCTTGGTTCAACCGTAGTTGAACTTGCTGGTGAAGGCGCATAGCCTACGGTTGAACTTTTTGGTGAAGGCGCATAGCCTGTCTTGGTTCAACCGTAGTTGAACTTGTTGGTGAAGGCGCATAGCCTGTCTTGGTTCAACCGTAGTTGAACTTTTTGGTGAAGGCGCATAGCCTGTCTTGGTTCAACCGTAGTTGAACTTTTTGGTGAAGGCGTTTAGCCTGTCTTGGTTCAACCGTAGTTGAACTTGCTGGTGAAGGCGCATAGCCTGTCTTGGTTCAATCGTAGTTGAACTTTTTGGTGAAGGCGCATAGCCTGAGTCCCAGTTCGACCGTAGTTGAACTTGTTGGTGAAGGCGCATAGCCTGTCTTGGTTCAATCGTAGTTGAACTTTTTGGCGAAGGCGCATAGCCTGAATCTTGGTTCAACCGTAGTTGAACTTACTGGCGAAGGCGCATAGCCTTGATTTAATGGCGAAGGCGCTTAGCCTGAGTCTTGGTTCAACCGTAGTTGAACTCACTGGCGAAGGCGCATAGCCTGAATCTTGGTTCAACCGTAGTTGAACTTACTGGTGAAGGCGCTTAGCCTTGATTTAATGACGAAGGCGCTTAGCCTGAGTCTTGGTTCAACCGTAGTTGAACTTACTGGCGAAGGCGCATAGCCTGAATCTTGGTTCAACCGTAGTTGAACTTACTGGCGAAGGCGCATAGCCTGAATCCCAGTTCAACTGTTGTTGAATTTTGTCGATCTTGATGGCGAAGGCTCATGGCCTGAGTCCCAGTTCAACTGTTGTTGAACTTTGTCGATCTTTGATGACGAAGGCTCATGGCCTGAGTCCCAGTTCAACTGTTGTTGAACTTTGTCGATCTTGATGACGAAGGCTCATGGCCTGAGTCCCATATTGTTTGTATTGAGTGCTGAAGCTCGATTTGGATTCGAGACCTTGAGCGGCTCATCCGTTGTCTTCCCAACTAGGGTTTATAGGTTGTCTTGAGGCGACTCTCGGCTCGAGATATCTTCGTGCCGGTTTCTGGCCGGAGCTCGTATCAGGGATGTAGGAGATGCCTTACAGAGACATTCCCTTAGGGGGGGGGGGGCTTCTTCTTTTTGTTTGCACTATCTGAGATCGGAGAGAGAGAGAGAGAGGACTTAGATCTTGATTTGAGATCTTCGAGTTCCATCGGCCTGATATGCCGCTTGGGCTTGTTTATGCGGGGTTATTCTTCCTTTCCGGCGTTTCTTTCCTTTTGGTCCATGGAAGAACTACGCGATTTTGCTATAAAATCCCCACAGACGGCGCCAAATTGTTTGCTCAAAAGTTATCATAAGCTTTATGAGTGCAAAACAATAAGCAAAACAATACAAAGAAGTTACGGGAAAATCATAGCAAATCGTAATAATCCATTGGACCAAGCGAAGAACATGAAAATAAGCACTCAAGGTTAGGAGAAGAAATCTTAACAACTTTTATTGATAATATTGGTTTGGTCTGCCTCTCCATGAAGAGGTTCAGAGCCTTACAATGGTGTTTTCTCTTCCCATAAGATGGGTATATTTTTCTCTTCTCTCTCTCTTTTGTCAATAGTGGTGAAGAAGCAGCCCCCTTTCTAGGGCTTCCACTCTTAGTATTTATAGATGATAGCTTCGCGAGCTGGCAATNCTTGGTTCAACCGTAGTTGAACTTATTGGCGAAGGCGCATAGCCTTGATTTAATGGCGAAGGCGCATAGCCTGAGTCTTGGTTCAACCGTAGTTGAACTTACTGGCGAAGGCGCATCGCCTAGATTTAATGGCGAAGGCGCATAGCCTGAGTCTTGGTTCAACCGTAGTTGAACTCACTGGCGAAGGTGCATAGCCTGAATCTTGGTTCAATCGTAGTTGAACTTACTGGCAAAGGCGCATAGCCTTGATTTAATGGCGAAGGCGCTTAGCCTTGATTTAATGATGAAGGCGCTTAGCCTGAATCTTGGTTCAACCGTAGTTGAACTTACTGGCGAAGGCGCATAGCCTGAATCTTGGTTCAACCGTAGTCGAACTTACTGGCGAAGGCGCATAGCCTGAATCCCAGTTCAACTGTTGTTGAACTTTGTCGATCTTGATGGCGAAGGCTCATGGCCTGAGTCCCAGTTCAACTGTTGTTGAACTATGTCGATCTTGATGACGAAGGCTCATGGCCTGAGTCCCATATTATTGGTATTGAGTGCCGAAGCTCGATTTGGATTCGAGACCTTGAGCGGCTCATCCGTTGTCTTCCCAACCAGGGTATATAGGCTGTCTTGAGGCGACTCTCGGCTCGAGATATCTCCGTGCCGGTTTCTGGCCGGAGCTCGTATCAGGGATGTGGGAGATGCCTTACAGAGACCTTCCCTTGGGGGGGTCTTCTTCTTTTTGTTTGCACTATCTGAGATCGGAGAGAGAGAGAGAGAGGACTTAGATCTTGATTTGAGATCTTCGAGTTCCCCTTCGAGTTTGGCGTCTCTTTCCTTTTGGTCCAGGGACGAACTACACGATTTTGCTAAGAAATCCCCACAGACGGCGCCAAATTGTTTGCTCAAAAGTTATCGCATATATTATGAGTATAAAACAATATAAGTAAATCACGAAAAAATCATAGCAAAACGTAATAATCCATTGGACCAAATGAATGAGACGAAAATAAGTACTCAGGATTAGGGGGAGAAACATTAGGAGCCTTTATTGATAATATTGGTTTGGTGTGCCTCTCCATGAAGAGGTTCAGAGCCTTACAATGGTGTTCCTCTTGCCCATAATATGGGTCTCGTTATCTCTTTTTTCTCTCGTCAATAGTGAAGAAGAAGAAGTCCCCCTTTCTAGGATTTCCTCTCTTGGTATTTATAGCTGTGAGCTTCGTGAGCTGGCAATAAGTGGCCGTGACCACGTTGGGATTTCGCCTTCATGGTGGCGGATGGGCCATGGCCTTGCTGATCGAATCAGATGCGGNGGAGATGCCTTACAGAGATCTCCCGTTAGGAGGGGGGGGAGGGCTTCTTCTTTTTGTTTGCACTATCTGAGATCGGAGAGAGAGAGAGAGAGGACTTAGATCTTGATTTGAGATCTTCGAGTTCCCCTTCGAGTTTGGTGTTTCTTTTCTTTTGGTCCGGGGAAGAACTACGCGATTTTGCTAGGAAATCCCCACAGACGGCGCCAAATTGTTTGCTCAAAAGTTATCATGTGCTTTATAAGTGCAAAACAATATAAATAAGTTACGGGAAAATTATAGCAAATCGTAATAATCCATTGGACCAAGCGAAGAACATGAAAATAAGTACTCAAGGTTAGGAGAAGAAATCTTAACAGCTTTTATTGATAATATTGGTTTGGTCTGCCTCTCCATGAAGAGGTTCAGAGCCTTACAATGGTGTTTTCTCTTCCCATAAGATGGGTATATTTTTCTCTTCTCTCTCTCTCTCTTCTTAATAGTGGTGAAGAAGCAGCCCTCCTTCTAGGGCTTCCACTCTTAGCATTTATAGATGTGAGCTTCATGAGCTGGCAATAAATGACCGTGGCCACTCTGAGGTTCCGTCCCCATGGGGGAATGACTGGGCCGTGCCCTCGTAGATTAAATCGGACAAGAGTCGAATCCTGTTATGAATAAGTGGCCATACCACTCATTAATTATGGATTAGCTCAAGACGAGATTAACTCTGTTAATTACCGTGAGAACAGATTCTGACCCATACAACCTCCATAACCTCCCCATGATCTTCCTCCATGATCTCAAATGTTCAATGTCATGTTTATGGCATTCTTTTGTATGCCTCTATGTAATCCTATAAATAGAGGGTTTTGGCATCACATTGTACACACTTGAATACATGGAAGAAATAGATTCTCTTCTCTCTTTCTCTCTACATTGTTGTCTATCTTTTTGTTTTATATTATTACTTTGAGCTAAGTTTTGTAACAAAATATATATTCTATCATAAAAAGTAATGGCGTTTTCGTAATTATACGTCATAACGGAGGGCTAATCGTACAATCACGCCGCTGGACCTATGATGAAAAATTTAAATACGACTTTTGGATTCATTTTCAGATCCGGGGATTCAGGGCTCAAAAAAGCTTAGTCGGCAAATCCAATGGTGTCTCCATAATAATACAAACGGTTGCACAGACAACCATACAAATAGTATTTACTGTTCAAATTCAGATATACATACGTACATCTAATTTTGTTAGGTTTAGGGATAAAAATTCTCACCCAAAACCACACTATCAGGACATCTGCTTCACTACATACTTTCTGACATCAGGTAAATTTTCGAAACTTTACTCGAAAATGAAAATTAAGAACTTAGATTTTTATGAAGTTACATTTCTGAGATTTTTTAATTAGAATAAACCTTATGGAATTGAGATGTAATGGTTATGTTGTGTGATGCTAGAGGTTCGTATTTTTTGATTTGTGTGTTTCATTTTTGATTACTGATTTGTTTTGATATCATGTAATTTGGCTGATATTTTTTTCTTATTGCTTTTTTTGTTGCCTTTTTATTACTGGCTTATAGATCTGAAGAAACTGAAGATTACAGTGGTGATAGTGGACAAATCTGGTAGTGATTTTGATGTGCTCAGATCTGGTGGTTAAAAAGAGGATCTAAGATCTGTAGTCATTTTACAGAATTTCAGAACTCCAGTATGAACCTTTGACCTCTGTTGTTTATTGTTAGATCTTTAGGTTTGTTGATAAGATAGTTAGTTAGAGTGGATTTTGATTGGGTTGGTTATTTGAGTCAGTTGGAAAATGATTGTTGTTGCTCAGCATAGGAATCAGTACTATGGGAGAAGCAGAGTACAACATGGCCCTGCTCGATATGGGTCATTTGGTTCACCTCCTTCTGGTAGGTGCAGGGAGGAAAATTACCGGGCTTTCGAGTCTAAACATGTCATTAAACGGGGCATTTTGGATTCCTTGTCTCCCAAAATACGTTCACCTTTGACATCACTGCCAGTTAATACTGTGAAGTGTCACTCTGAAAATCAAACGAAATCAAGAAAACCAGCCACAAGTAGCATGATTGCGATACCAATTAAAATCAAAGTGGATGTTGGTTCTACCAAGAAGGATTCTTTGAATGACAATTTTTCTGAACTGTGGGCGGGGCCAGCTTATTCAAATTCTCCTCCCCCTAGTTCATTGCCGATGCCCAAATTTTCTCTCAGGCCTAAAAGGACTGTCTCTCTTGAATTGCCTGCTTCAGCGTCTGATATTGATTTGCGTCCCATTGCCAAGTCTGCTCCTGCATCCCCAACCAGGGAGCACAGCCCTTCTCCAGGAATCGTACTTGTCAGTACTGACTCTGCCACACAGACTCTTCGTCGTATCCTCAATCTCGAAATTACAGATTGATGAATGTGTAGTGGGAGTGCTGAGTAGCAGCTAAGTAGGGGATAATGTAGTTTGAATTTGGTAGTACTAGTAGATTTGTATAAATCGTGAATAAAGCAGTCTTTAGATTGACTTTGTGTTAGTTGCTTAGCATTTGTCGTGGTGGAGAGCAGCTTAAGCTCAGTGGTGAAGCTTCAACAGCTGTTAATTGTGGTTGGTTTAAGGGAAGTACAATATGAACATTGGCAGGTTGGTCAACTCTCTCCAGGTTGCTTCAAAGTTCATGCATTTATGTGCCGATGTGGTTAAATTCTATGGGGTTCAACATCTTGGAAGTATGCATACTTGTGCATACATCAGTGGATGAAGAAGCTGGGTGTTGAGTGGGAAGCTCCTGTTGCAGTAATTGATAGATAGCTTTACAGTCCTTTGTGGGGCTGCAGAACTGTTGGTCAACTCTTTGATGCTATAGAGATAACATCTAATCATCAATTTTCATTCTTGATTCTAGTTCTCATAGGATTGTTCATTCTTTGCTTCTTCACATTACTTTAGATCTTCCGTTTGTCAGAGATATTGTATATATCTTAGACTCTACCAGATTAGATAGCTGCAACTTGGATTTCTGTTTTATTCTGTTACCAAACTCTTAGCCCTTCCATTCAATCTTGCATCCTAACCATCTCTATCTCCTTGTAGTATATCAGAGTCTGCCTAAATTGGCTGGTCGTCACCCCGTTACCTGTATTCTTGTCATTTTTACTTCTTTACTTTGAATAGGATCTAATTCCTACTTCTTCCCCTTGACCATTTTTCTGTTTTTTGGAATGAAAATTGGTAAGGGGAATTAATAGTTAGTTCTATCCTTTCACCTCCTGGTCTTTGGTATCTTCTCTTTTAGCTTTCCTCTTGTGAGTCCAATTATGCATGTTAAGTGGTTTATTCCGCCTTCTCTCAGCTAAATTCCATTTGCTCTGGAGATTGATGATCACCTAGCTATTCATAAGGTAAGCTATCCTAAGTTTTCTTTGTTTTGTTGATGTCTGCTTTGTATTTAGCTATGATTTGCTATAACTTTTGCTTATATTTGTTTACTTCTTTTTGTGTATAGTGCTTTTCTGTTTGAGCTGTTGGAAGAAGATAGTTGAAGAGGCTCCTCATCATTGTTGAAGATGATCTCCTCCATGCTTTCTCGGTGGTAGCATTACTGGTTATGTTTCGTTTAATTTTTTTTATTGGACACTTCGGTCTATAGTTGCTTTCTTTCGACAAAACTGGTACTGTGCAGTAATCTAGTTATATCATGTTTTAGGTTTTGGAGCTTTTACTTTTGTCGTTGTACTAAGCAATGCCGTCTTGCTTTTAATCTAGCAGTTCGATAAAGACTAGTTTAATTTCTTTTGCCACATTCGTTTGCCTTCCTAAGTGTATGCCGCTGCTGCGACATACTAATATTTTACTTGGCTCTCCTCTTTTGGAGTCGGAATTTTTTAATAACTTGACCGATTTTCCTGTACTTAGCAAAGACAGCTATCGTTACTGGTGATTTCATATGGATAACTCTGTATACTTTTTGTAGCCAAGATGAGAGTAGTTAATCTGTCATTTATCCTAAATTATGGTGGTTCTTTGTTTAGGCGAAAGGTTGCTACAAATTACTTGACCTACTTGTCATAGTTGTGTTTGTGTACGTACATCTTCCCTTTCAAATATGTTACTCCATTCTACTTCATAACAGGCTGCCGTTTTTGAGCTCAATAGATACAGACTCGTTGTTCCACTGCATGAAAAATCTGAACAAACGGTTAAAGTTAAATCCATAACTATGCTTATATTAATTGAGAAAAGACATTGAAGCTTTGAAATGGACCTGACGAGCTTCATTGTTGCTGAAGAAATTGAAGAACACACGCTAGGGTCTAGTGGACCATGAACTCCGGTTTAGGGCTAGGAGCGCCATGGTTATTCAAACCTAGTTAAAGCTCCCATTTTAAGTGCTCCAAGAATTTGTAGAAATATGATACTTTTTGGGGTTGTCTTTAACTTGTACCTCTCGCTTGCCATATGAGTTTTTAAGGTCAAACGTTTGTTAGAAGTGTTAGCCATGACGCAAGCAAGAGCGCCACATTGTTTCAGTAGAAATGGAAGGAAAGGGAGAATACGGTTTCCATGTGGCCGCTGGCTTATAGCCTGGTCAAGCTTCTTTTTGGTCAAAAGTGCTTTATTTTGGCCAAAAGGACTTTCGGCCAAAAATTGAGGTGTTTGGCCAAGCTTTTGGAAGGGAAAAAAAAAGCTTTTGGGGAGAGGCAGAAACAGTTTTGGAGAAGCAGAAAAAAGTAGCTTCTCTCCAAAAGCACTTTTTTGAGAAGCACTTTTGAGAAAAATACACTTAGAAGCAGTTTTTTAAAGCTTGGCCAAACACTAATTGCTGCTCAGAAGTGCTTTTCAAACTAATTGGCCAAACACAAACTGCTTCTCACCAAATGTACTTTTGAGAAAATCACTTTTGAAAAAAAGCACTTCTCAAAATAAATTGATTTTTGCAGCTTGGCCAAACGGGCTATTAGTTTGCCTTTCATCGGATGATTGCATTTATCTGTGCAATCCTGTCATGCAACAATTCTGTAAATTGCCGAAATCTTCACCTACTGTTTTAAATACATTCAATTTGGTCAACTTTGCGCCTAGCTGGCCATACTTTGCCTATCTTCACTCAGGACGTTGGATAAAGAAATACTAACATTTATACATTTGGGTAAGGTTGTCTTCTATGGCCTAAAAAGAAAATGCTTTAGAGCAGGGAAAATTGATTTTGGAATTTGCCTAGACACCATAATTCAGACATTGGGTTCTGGAATTTACCAGAAAAGCTTGTTTTCATTAGGAAGCGCATAGGTCCTTCCTATTTATATCTCTTTTATGTTACAGGATAAACTATTCTTATTCCTAATCTTGGTAGATATTGCTTCTGTATCTTATTGCATATGAAGCATTATTGGGGAACATTGTAAGAAGGGTTACTGTTATTTTTTATAATCGAAAAATGAAATGATGATTTATAGCTCTTCAGCAGCAGTTATTTGCAATTAATTGGGAAATATCGGTGGATTCAGCTCCATAGTTAAAAATCCCTTTCTCTTTCTCATATCTTCTTGTATTCAGTTGCAAAATATGATGTTCTTTTATCCTGATGATAGCCTTAGCAGATATGATTATCTATAAGATACAAACATAAAATTCTTAGTCGAGAATCTATGTCAAAGCGGAATGGAGAAAAAGAAAGGGAGATTTCATTTAGAGGACAAAATAAACAAAAATCAGTTCATATTGATATCTAGCTGCCTTAGATATAAGGCAGAGTGATGTTGACATCTCAATTATCTGAAAATTCATATTGATATTACTCGTTACCATTGAAGGCATAATAGAATATACACTAGAAGTAGGCAAGTAGCTCATAAAAAGAATAGCTTTATCTAGTACGGATAGAAACAAAGCAATCTTGATCAGCTCTCAATACAGCTCAAAATTTAACTTATTACATCAAATCCTCTGCCTTAGCCTTTAGCGTAGTGTATTACAAAAGGGTATATCAATCACATTAACAAAATAAACAAAAAATTTAATTAAAATGCGTAACCAAACTGTGCCAACTCCACACTACAATCCAATTGCAAAGAATAGGCAAAACTGGAGCTCAAATGGTGGTGAAGACTGTGGCTAAAGATGCGATAGCTACAAGTACAAACAAGAGAGAGTATGGCATCTTGACTGAGTTTCCTGATGAATTTCCACTTGGCTCACCTTTAGATCCACCTGCCAAAAGTATACAAGATTAGTTATGTTAAGAGGAAAAAAAAAAAATCCAAAGAGTGGAGTTAAAAAAAAAAAGATCGAGTTTTGTTATATATTACTAGAAATTGAAGTTTTGCTCGTATTATCCGTACCTGAAGGAGTAGATGGAGACCCCGGTGAAGCTGAAGGAGTAGTACCTGAAATGTTTATATTAAGACAAAACATGTTATAAACTTGAAAAATATAGCGTAATTAGTTGGCCAGTACGGTACAATATTCGATTTTTTAAAATGCTATACCAATACCATACATAATTAAATTCGATATGGTTCGATTTCTTCTTTCGGTCTCGGTTTATTCGATCAAGTAACTTCGATTTGTTTGACTTGAATATTGCATAGAGCCATAAACGATAATATTCTCATTAATTAAAGTACTCACAAATAAAAAAAATAAAAATGTCCTAAGTTTACCTAATTGCTGATAAAATCTTTGTCCAAGACCAGCAAGTATCAACATATAGGAAGAAAAGAAGGCGTTTTCCAAGTTTTTTTTTTTTTTTTTTTGGAAAGTAATATTTTTTGAAAAAAGAAGTTATATAGCAGAATAATAATAATAATAATAACAAAGAAAGTAACTAATATAAAATTAAAACTTAAAATTATACTGTTGTAAGGAAAACAAATTTCGTCCAAGGGAAGTCATTCTTCCCTTTTGATTGAAAATGTATTTCTTAGAAAATGACTTCTTTAAAGAAAATATTTATCTAGAAACAAAAATATATACATCAAGTTTGAACAAAAGTGAAAAGAAAAAAGAAAAAAGAAAAAAGAAAAAAGGAAAAAGAAAAAAGAAAAAAGCAGTATATTATTGATAAACATAACTTACCTTTGCAAAGGCTAACAGAGGGTGTCCGGACATTGCAAGCTTTAGGAAGAGCCATAGCCTGTGTCTGATTAACATTAATTCCTAAATTTGAACCCCCACCATTAACCACTTGACACAAGCATTGTGGCTGATTTTTCACTATAGTAGCAAGTTGAGTGCAACATCCTGATGATGGGGTCGTCGCATTTCCTTGAATGTATTGCAAACACGGGGCTAAACCAACGATCACTTGTTGGCAATCCGATTGAGCCCTAACATGTAATGAAAGAAAAACAATAGCTACAAAAATTGTATTTGCACTAGCTAACATTTTCATTTTCTTGAATATTTGATCTTTGAAACTCTTCTCAAAATCTAAGTTTTGGTTAGGAGTTTCTGATATTTGAGTAGTAGAGTGAATAGGAGGAAAAAGATATTTATAAGGGGAAAAATGGTGTAATAAATTAAAGACAGATTTGTTATGTGGGTGACCAACTTTTTTCCTACTTTATAACGAATCCGTGAGTAAGCATTTATTAATTTTCTTTCTACATTCGACTTTTATTAAATGACAGCGGTACTATATATTATAGGTGTAGGTTTTCTGGTTTGGTCTATATTTTTTGTGAAAAGACAAGTACTTCCACTCTATAGCTTCCACGTTCAAGGAGTAGAAAAGGTTATCTTTGCTGCTTATTCCAGCAAATAACACTCTTATATCATGCAACTTAAATATGTGTTTAACTTAAATATATCATGTACTTCTAGATGGTTAATGATTTAATTTTGTAGCAGGTTATGAATTATAACAACTTTCGTACTAATTATGAACAATTATTTAGTTATTTTTACATAATTTAATAACGTAAAACTCTTTTACATTATAAGTATACACAGGTTAAACTCCTTAAGCATGTGGACAGAAAGGTGCCTACATTTTTTAATTCTTAATGGAATATGCGGAGTTAGTGTATTACGTATGGATTGGACGAACTAATAACTTTTGATTAGACTTTATGTTTGTATTAGAAAATTTATTAAATATATATAAATATTTAAATCTCAACTCAATTAGTAAACGATTTAAGCGTTTAGCATCAAATTCAAAATCAATAAACTTTAAATTCTAGTTCGCCTATACTTAACGGCTTAGTCAAACTGGATAGGTCGGCAGTCATGGCCGGTGATTGGAGAACCAATATTCACATGTGTGCCGGCCGCATTTGGATGGAGAGACAGGTCAATTTTCACATTTCGTATTCATAATTCAAAACAGATATCGGTTTTTAGACCTCGATTAATTTGGTCATTATTCCCTCAAAATGGGAAAAAGGTTGGAGAATATGCTCTTTCATATGGGGCAGGGCAGGACGGGTAAAAATGTTAAGCAGGTAAAGGCTTGCCCTACCCCGCCCCATTGCCATCACTGTAGTACCATGATGTCGAAACCAAATATTGGAAGCATGAATTAAGAATAGTATAAGGTTGTCCACCATAAGAAAAAGGGTATCCCGATGCCCAAAGCAGCCCGTATTCACGTAGGGTTCGGTGAAGGGTCGCATTATTAGGGGTGTGATTTAGACAGTCTACCCTAATGCAAACATTAGTTGCTGCTTACATGGCTCGAATTTATGTCCTATAGGTTATACTGAGACAATTTTACCGCTGCTCTAAGGCTTCCCTTCAACAGTTTGAAAAAAAAAAAAGAGAAATAGGAAATGAAAAGAAGGTTTAATGCAGTGTTCAAACCTTATAGGTCTAGTGAGACGTTAACATTGAGTTATCATTGTAAAAGTATAAAAGATTGAAACAGATAGACAGATAGCTGACTTTTGCTGGATATCTTTCAGATTACCCACAAATATTTCTTTCTTAGCTGTTATAAATAATTTTTTACGCTATTGATCAGACAATGATCTAAAAAAGGCAGCTTGATACACAAGGCATTTCATCACGCACTGTGATGTAAACAATCTACTCTAATGCAAGCATTAATGGCTACTTTCACACTCAAACCCGTGACCTATAGGTCACACGAAGACAACTTTATCGTTGCTCCAAGACTCTTCTTCCGGACCATGATCTAGATAGTTCACATTCGGTAAGTAATCTAATTTGTTCATTCGCCGCACAAGTTACATATTGCTATCACGCCATTAATGACCTGTTTGGATAATTATGTTTGAAAATCTTGAAAGGTGATGTTCTCCCAATATTGAATTGAATTATGAAGCCACATTTTGCTAAGAAAATTAATGAAGGGACAAAAAACAAATACTATCTGTTTATGTGTTGAAAGAAAAATTATATTATCTTAAAACAAGTGACAGAATAAATCCTGAATATATTAATCAAATAAGCAACAATAAATAGCTAAATTACAACCAATGTGACACTCCTACTAAAAACAGAGAAACCAAAAGAATAACAGTAGTACTGTTCTATTAATACAACATTGACATAAAAATGACTTTTTCCTCAAGCTCTCATGATGCTCCACAAACTCAGAATCCCCTAGAAGTGAAAGCAAATGATGCAACAAATAGGAGGAATCCAACTAAACTGATTGAAATTTTTGAGTTGTTTCCTGCTGATGACGATCCAGGTGTTGAAGGAACTGTTTTAGAACCTGTAGCGCCTGCATCAATAAAAAGCATTCGCGTTTGAGTTTAACTAATATACACTCTAGCTCTCTAGTTCTCTTAGGCAACCAACTATAACCTGGGGCGAAGCTATATGTGACCAATAATGGTCAACTGAACACTCTTCTCTCAAAATTATATTGTGTATAGGGTAAAATATTACTTGCTATTGACCAAAAAATAGACTTTGAACAACCTTGCATAGCCCACCGGAAAAGTATGTTCAAATTTTGAACGGCCTTATTGAATTTTCTGGCTTCGCCACTGATTATAACATGTTAAAATACACTGATATTGTACAAATTAAATATGTTACTCCTACTTTAAGTATATATAAGTTAAATCCTTCAGATTTACCTGTTGGAACAGTGGAGCCTGATCCTGATGGAGTTGTTGGAAGTTCATTTGAGGAATCAGATGGGGTAGTGGAACCTGTAGGAGAACTTGCTGGTACTGCAGCTGAAGCAGTTGGTCCATTTGCAGCTGCTTAATATATGCACACAACAATCAGTTAGATCATTATATTTTATAACAATTCAAGGATTTACTTTATACGCACTGACACTGTACAAAATCTTCCAATATCAGTATATTTTAACCTATTGTAGCATGTTAGCTGCTTTATTTTTCACGTTATTAATTTCACTTATTATGAACAGTTACCTGTAATTATCATTTACATGCAATGCTCATATAATGAAAAATTAGAGATTTTGTCTTACCATTGCACCGGCTCACTGGAGGAGTTTGTAAATTACAAGCACTAGGTAATGCAAGAGCAAGAGTTTGATTAATGGCAATGCCAAGATTAGAACCACCACCATTAACCAAAACACAAAGGCATTGAGGATTGGACTGGACAACACTAGATAGTGAAGTGCAGCAAGATGAAGATGGTGTTGATGAATTTCCACTAACATAATTCAAACACGGGGACAAGCTTACAAGTGTAGTCATGCAACTTGATTGAGCTAAAGCTCCAGTCCCAAAAAAGGCCACAAGAGTAATAACTAGAGCCATCACATTGATTTTCGATGCCATTTTTGTTTTTGAGGATAAAACAGATTTTCAGAAAAGAGCAAAAGAAAAAGAAATTTGGTTATGTTTTTTTTTTTTTGTCAGGTTTGAGTGCAGAGCAAGAACAGAGCTTTGGGGGTTATATACGCAAGTTTCAGCACAAAAGAACAAGAAAAGATAGGTAGTTTTGTTGGCCAACTATTAAACTAATTACCACACCCAAATGAATGGTTAGCAACTCTGAGGAAGGCTTTATTTCATAACTAAACCTCAATAAAGAATACGGTTTATATCTATCTCCTTGACAATTGTTTACCAAATTAGGTGATCTTCCCTTTGTAGTATTATTCGTTTGAAAAGGTTTAGATTGTCTTCTTATATAGGAAAAGTTCGTTAACAATTTTTTTTATCTTTGCGTGTACCAGCACATTAAGGCTATATGACTTTGTTCACCACGTCATTCTTGAAAATGCAAAAGGGGGTGAATAGTAATTTTTCTTTTCTTTTTCGATGTAGTCGACTAACTTGCGTTCTAGTCGACTGGGCTTTTAAAAACTGAATACAGGAAATAAATTATAGAAGTAAATGACACAGAATGTTTTTATACTAGTTCGGATTCAGAATGAATCATACGTCCAGTCCTCTTAGGTTGCAAGGGTGTTCTCTTTCAAGTATGAAGTAGCTTAGTACGTATGGGTTGATGTTGTTATACACCAACAACTTTGTCACATTGTTCTTTTCTATATGCTTGATACAATGCCTCACTAGTGTTCTTTTCTCTTTCTTCTCTTCTTAGTTACACAAATAAATCTATAGCAGACTAGAGTGCTTGTTTGAATTAGAACAAAGAGATTGATATTGGTTCGATCAAAGTATATTCTTCCTTTGCATCTTCTATAGAATATATAAAGAGTTGGTCTCCATTCTTCATGGCGTGATAGTGTAATGGTTGAAAGGCAACCCAAGGGAGTTAATTCTCAGAATCAATCAAGATGATTTTCTTCCAAGAATAGAATGGGCTTTCTTTTTGTTGCTTCGTTGATTTCCTTTTTCTTATTGTATACGATCAAAATCGAGTTTGCCTAATTTTGTACGACTAACCGAAGTCGGGACGGAAGATCAAGGCCCGGCCCTAGTTATATCGGAGCATGGTACGAAGACAGATTGATAAACTCGTGGATCAATGGCCGATGAAGATCGAGGCTGGCCGTGACCGAGATCAAAGCGAGAAAGAGATCGAACAAGATCGAAGAAGGCCTGCTATGTCGAATAACAAAAAGCCGAGATATTTGTGATTAGGCGAGAATCGTGGCGGAAATCTCGGCACGTATCGAATTAGGATCGGATACTTAGCCCATCATGGGATTTACTTCTGTAATTAGAATTGTACCATAAATAGGATCCCTCTACTATATAAATAGGGTTCTAATCATTTTGTAACCATCTTACATCAAAGCAATATATCACACTTTTATCTCTTGCAAGCTCTGTTGTCCAGTTCATACTTTCAATAGCTTGTTCAGTTGGCTCAAGGGCAATTAGCTCAAGGGCCATAATTGTTCATCACATTGGGTTGCTTTGTTTTACTGTTAATTCCTAGCATTAATTCTTATATTTATCAGTTTGTGCCAAGTGAAATTACATATCCTTAAAATCACTTATAAGTTTAATTGTTATCCGATTTTGAGGGTAAAAAGTTTGGCGCCCACCGTGGGGCTAAGGAGAATAGTGATTGCATGGTACAATTTTCGTAACACACATTATTTTACGCTTGTTCTTTGAAGTGTCTTTGATTTCAGGATAAACATGTCAAACTCCCAAGTAGCACCCACACACACAGACAACGACCTTGGTCTTCATGGAGAGAACGAAAACATAGCCGCCCCAGGAAACGGAGTACCTCCAGTTAACTCCGATGGAGCTCCGGTCGTGGACCCAATCGACGTCAGATCCCATATTGCTATTAATGGGAATTTGGGCGTCGACCCTGAGAATAACGTCTGCAGAGACGCACGAGCAGCCGATCAAAACGCACAGAGCAGTGAAGAAGGCGGAATTAGCCTTCGAATGATATTCGAGATACTGTAGACTCAACAAGCTACAATAGCACAACTCCAAAATCAGAATCGTGCACAAAGTAGGGTCGAGCTCGAGCCATCGCAAGAAATTGTTCCTAGAGCCGAGTCGGTGCCAAAGGAAACGAATGGAGGAGAATCGAAGACCAATCCTTCTATCAAAATGACGCTAGAAGACCTGACAAAGCGAATCGAAACAGGGAAAAAGAAGATCGAGGAAAATGATAAGAAGGTGGAAACTTATAACTCCAGGGTCGACCAAATCCTGGGGGCACCATCGGTATTGAAAGGACTTGATTCCAAAATGTTTGTCCAAAAACCTTTCCCCCCAAGTGCGGCCCCAAAGCCAATCCCAAAGAAGTTCCGTATGCCCGAGATTCCGAAGTATAATGGGACGACATATCCAAACGAACACGTCACCTCATATACGTTCGACATTAAGGGAAATGATTTGGAAGATGACGAGATTGAATCCGTGTTGCTGAAGAAATTCGGAGAAACTCTATCAAAGGGTGCCATGATATGGTACCATAATTTACCACCTAATTCTATTGATTCATTTGCTATGCTTGCAGATTTTTTTGCGAAGGCGCACGCGGGAGCCATTAAGGTTGCAACTAAAAAGTCGGACCTATTCAAGGTAAGGCAAAAAGACAACGAAATGCTCAGGGAATTTGTATCTTGATTTCAAATGAAATGGATGGATTTACCACCGGTCACCGACGATTGGGCTGTTCAAGCCTTCACACAAGGTCTCAACGAATGGAGTTCCATATCTTCGCAGTAATTAAAGTAGAATTTGATCGAATATCCAGTCGTCACTTGGTCCGATGTACATAATCGATATCAGTCGAAGATTAGGGTTGAAGACGATCAACTGGGGGATCCAATTGTTTTGATTTATCCCAAAAGGCCCGTGGACAAAGTTAAAAGGGATGTTGATCGGGAACCACGATCGAACAGAGACCGATATCAGCCATACGGGAGAGATCGGAGAAACAACAGGTCTGGACACAAACCTGTTCGAAATGATAGAAGGAATGATCGGGGACGAAGCTCTCGAGGGCTCATGAGTAAGAGTAGTTTCGACAGGGATGCCGGGTCCAAAGAAGCACCTCGACTGTCAGAATATAACTTCAGCGTAGATGCTTTCGCCATAGTATTGGCCATTGGGCGTATAAAAGATACTAGGTGGCCTCGACCTCTGCAGACCGATCCGACCCAAAGAAACCCAAACCAAATATGCAAGTATCATGGCACCCATGGCCATAAAATAGAAGATTGCAGAGAGCTAATTTTGATACCCAATTTTTCCTTATATGTATTTTCAAAATAACATATGCATGCATATATAAGCATGCCAAAGTGTTTTAGTATTTTTCCTAATTTTGAAAATCAATTTATTGCCCATTTTAGCAGTATAAAAACCAATAATTATTCCCAAAATTATTATTTTGGTGGATAATTTGTTTTATTTCCCATATTTATACCAAAATAAAGTTAAGGTAATTTTTGTATATTTTTTACAAATTTATTTGGTATTTTAAAAGCTAAATTACATATAATTGCAATTTTAGCCTATTTTAAGATTAATAGCACTTTATAACTATAAATTTGGTTCAAATATTTTTAAATTAATATTTATATAGTATTTACTGATTCAGTACTTTTAATTTAATTTCAGAATCATTTTACTATTTTTTATAAAATAAAAAAGGAAAAACTGGCTATTTAGTATATAGCCTCAATTTATTTCAATTATAGCCAAATTGACCCCTCCTTTAGGACTAGTAGTCCCAAATGCCTCCGGACTGATAGGATTGGGACGGGTAATAGCATGCAATAAGTAACAAGACTATTCCGCGCTTTAATACCTTAACAGGGTGGGAAAGGATAGATATGGATATGATGACCACGCGATAACACCACGTGTATAAACGGTTACCGGGTGTTATATGGGGTGATCCATATTATTTATAAACCTAGGACCCCCCCTTCCCTTTACTTGTTTAATCTTTCAGAATTTCTTTAAAAAAAAAGAAAGAAACTGCTCAATTTTCAGCTTCTTTAACTTTTCTTTTACTTTAATTACTTGCATCAATTACGTAAAAACCTTCCTTTTACTTGTTTATTTCCAGAACTTTAAAATTGCTTTCTTCCCAACTTTCAGTTTCTTTAACTTCTTTTGCTTCAGTTGCTTGCAACCGTTATGTGAAAACTATCTCGTATTTGCAATTCTTGCTTGTTCACTTGTCATTTGCACTTAAAGTCACAATTGTAGCATTGCTGGGAACCACACTAGTGGATCTTGAGGGGTGCCTAACACCTTCCCTCGAGATAATTTCAAGCCCTTACCCAATCTCTGGTTTTTCTAAATCAAATTTCTTTAGTCTCCTAATGCACTTAATCATTAGGTGACGACTCTTCAATTGCAAACCAATTCCCAAAAGGAAATGAGTTGTCCGCCCAAATGTCATAAACCCGATTTCGCGAGAGAAAGGGGGCATCGACAGCATGGCGACTCTGCTGGGGACTTCTTTAAGGCTTTTACCATTTCATGCTATTTGTGACTTTATGTTTCTTTACATGTCTTTACTTGTTTAAATGCCTTTAAGTATTTATTCTTTCTTCTACTACGAAACTAACTTGGCTCTTTGTTTCTTTTCTTAATGCTTTTCTTTGTCGCTTTCCTTTAATACTATTGTAAATTATGAGAAACTGTTGTAATTATTACTCTATGAACGTGCAAATACATGACAATTTGTTTAATTATTGTAACTGCATATTCAACATCATATTTCACTCGTGCCAAACAAAATACCATAGCAACGCTTATAATGACTGGTTGCTCCCTTCCGATATTATCACCCCCTAAATCCAGCAAAGGCATATTTGCGGTAAAACCAGTTGATCAACGGTGTAGTCGACGGTTCCGTGCCTTTCCCTCTTGAGTTGTCCGCTCAAGGGTACCAGTCTAATACTCCATAGAAACCCTACTCTGTGTAATTCTGCATGCATCATTGTCAAACCTAGCCGAGTC